TAAAACATCTTATCGAACATGAGGAAGAAATGTCGATTGACCAATTTGTAAATATGATTGAAACATGGAGTCTATGTCAAACGTATCGTAAACGCTATGGAGAAGAGAAATTAAAACAATTATTAGAAACATTTACATATAATTTGGCTAAATGTTATGCAGAATCATCAAATGATATTAGTAGTAATAACAATAATAATGCTATTTCCGATAAGAAAATGATTGTTAAATGGACAGTTCATTTGCATTTAATGAAAAAGCAATAACCGATGCTTTGACGTTGGAAACACTTATGACTTTGAAGTACAACGCATGTTCCTAATAAGAACAGTTTTTTCGGAGGTGAGACGATTTTTCTTTTTTTTTTACCCATTTTAAATAAAATCAAAAACTTTTGATACTATTGAGTAGAGAAAAGTCTGCTCAAACGAATGATAAAAACTACCTGAGTAACTAGCGGTAGTTTGTGAATGATTGAATTTGTTCTTATTAGGAGAGTGTGGGTGTGGATCTGGACGTAGAGATGATCCAGATCCACACTCACACTCACACACCTAAATTCCATGTCTTACATTCTGTGTCTTTTTCTTTCCAATATGGATCAGTTGAAATGAAGTAGCAGGACAGTTTAGTCCAATCAAAATAGGTTGTTTCGAGTTTTTAGACTCGTGTAGACAAAGATTGATGGAACATTCTAAAAAAAAAAGGGCTAGTCTTAATGTGCACAGATAACGCCATAGATTATTCATGCTTACCATTGAAGACATTTCACACTAGTCAAGTTGCTCGTCTCCGACAGGTTGCGAATGGCCTGGCATCTTGACTAGTCCAGGCGTAGTTAAGGAACATTTCTCCTAAAGGTGACTAGTCATGACAAGTGTGAAGATACTTTAGACTAGACCTGACGAGTGTTGCGGATATTTTGGATTAGTCATGTCGATTGTCTTCACTTATTTCTTGTTCACTTGAGTAATGGCTATCATCATCAAATTTTTATTAATACAGATAAACTTCACAAACATTGTTCAAAGGTATCATTGTTGACTGAAATACAAAAATTCAGTCTTTCACTAATTTAAAAAAAAACTATTACTCAGGATCTTTTCTCTACTACTCCCAGTTCTTGTATTGTTCTGACCTTACTTGTATTGTCGTTTATCTGTAAAGTGACTGTTCAAATTATGAATGATTTAAAGCTTAGATTATATCAAAGAAATTGAAGCAATAGGAAAAAGATCCTGCGTAATAGATGTTTTTTTTGAAAATTAGCGAAAGACTGAATTTTCGTATTTCTGTCAAAGATGATACCTTTGAACAATGTTTGTGAAGTTTGTCCATATTAATAAAAACTTGACGAGGATATCCATCATAGGAAAAAATATTTAATTAAGTTTAATAAAATAGAAACATTAGACGAAATGATTTTTCGCAAGCAGCTTTTAGACACACTGTGTATATATATTGTCACAGAAAGCGAAGAAGAACACTTGTGTCCTTTAAAAATATTGTGATATTAGATTTATATATGGTTAATTATATTAAAATAAAAATTATACATCTCTCTTTTATCAAAACGTCAATAGAACATGTCTTTTTTCTCAACTAATCTTGTTAGTTATTATTAACACATTCTTATTTGAAACAATTAAATCAACTTTTAAATAAAAACAATAAAAATGAATTAAAGTACATTCAATTTTAAATAAATTTTATCATTTATGTGTTCAATTCTATACTGATGAAGTATTTGTTCATCATCAATTATTGTTTGTACTATTTGTATCATATCATAATTTACTTTCTCTATCCATAAACATAATGAAACAAGATCTTTAACATATGCATTCTTTTCAATAAAAATAAATCGAATAAGTGATAATAGTTCAATATCATTTGTACATTCTATTTGTAAATGTTGTATATATGAACAAAACGTAAGAAGAAAATCAACTTGTTCGATTTTTGTTACATGACACATATTAACTTTTGTAATATTTGTAGTAGTCGATAAATTATGATGTTTTGATTTTTGACTGCATCCATGTGATTTTAATAATCGACTTGAATATGAAATTGTCAATGAATCAAGATTGTGTAAATTTTCCAATAGTTCGATCAATACACAAGAAGATACCATACTACTATTTATAGTTAAACAGGTGATATTAGTTGAACTAATAATAGATTTAATATAATCATTGAGTAAAAAGTCATGATCTCTTTCATCAATACTGCTAATAACAAGCTGAACACCTTGAGAAGATAGTATGGAAGAATTGTGCATATGTTCTGGATACAAATCAGGAACTCTATTTGAAAGATAAAACTATTATCATTGTAATGTATATTATATTAAAAATAACAAAACTGTTAGCATAATTCCTGCGGGATTAAAATGTGACATATGATGAAACTGTAAACATTATAAATGAAGTAATTTATCAACATACGTTTCGGTTTATGAATTACTATCTACTGTTATTCGAACATTCATGGTGAAAGATGTTAACTTTAATATGTTACAGTAAATGTATAAAAAGAAAAAAAGATATATATCTTACATACAGTCGTGTTTCACAAACAACGTCCCAGTTAGGGGTGTCAGCGTTCCCCGTTCCTCAGCATTCCGTTCCTAGGAACGGGAACGCTTGTCAAAATCGCATTTCCACGCTATATTTCAACATGGCGAGGTCTCTAGACATATTCACTTTTCTTTTTATGTTTGAGTGTTCAGCGTTCCCCGTTCCTGAGAACGGGGAACGGGGTAGCGTTCCCCATTCCCAGGAACGGGAACGGAGTAGCGTTCCCCGTTCTTAGGAACGGGGTAGCGTTCCCCGTTCCTAGGAACGGGGCACATTGACATTCCTAATTTTTATGAAATTGGCTTCCCTTCGGTGAATTAGTAAAATTTCTGTTAAAAGTGAAAGAAACGTATGTTGCGTTCCAGTTTCTAGGAACGGAACGCTGAGGAACGGGGTAGCGTTCCCCGTTCCTAGGAACGGAACGCAAAGTTGACACCCCTAATCGAGAGTATCAAGAAGTCAAAAAACGCAAAAAAAAATTTTGGGAAGTTCCTGAAGGATTCCTGGGAACTCTCCCAAAAATTCTTTTTGCTTTTTCTTGACTTCTTGATACTCCCGATAGATATTCCATCACAAATTTTCTTATGTTTTGCTCAACTCTCCCAGAATTTCCAGATAGAGACTGACAGGGAGCTTCGTTAACTTGTCGGAACTCCTTGGGAAGTTGCTTATCAACTGATTATAGAAATGTGGCTTTTCTAAAGGGATTGATGAGATGAATTTGGGCCCGGCTCGAAAGTCCTTCCTGATTTTCGGACCGAACCGAAATTCATGTAATCCTAATAAAATCATAACTCAATCATACGAATGAGAAGAAATAGAAAACACCCGATAAAGGAATCAGTTTTCATCTATTTTATAGTTTGCAGCAGGTCTCAGGCTTTCTCCCGACAAATTTAATTCTTATTTATAGTTTTCCTGTCTTTTCTCAATCGTATAACTGAACCATTATATTATTACATAAAACTGAAGTCTTGACTATGGTATTTATTTGTTCAAAAATAGAGACCATGGATCCGTATATGAGATATGTAAGTGGCATGAGTAGCTGCTTGTATTGTCGTATTATTAGTATTATATTAATCTCTCTTTGATTTCGATGCGGAGAATAGTCTTGCAGCGTCTTACTAAACTTCATCAGCAAAATCAAATTGATAATGTTTATCCGATAAGATCTAGAAATATAGAGAAAAGATTCGATCAGATTATGTAGAAATCTATATCTAAAATATACTGAACTTATTTTCGAATGAAACTTCATCTTTCATTCTAAAAGAAACATTGAAAACACATGTTCAATACTGAAACAATATAATTAGTATAAAACAATTAAAGAATTTCGCAATGATTTTACCAATTAATAAAGTGTGCGAGTCAGTCGACGATTTCAAGAACTTAAAGGTCGGGTATTGAAGTAGATCATTGCAGAACGATGTTGAAACCTTAGAACTATTGTGCATTTCAAAAAAAGGACGGTGAGTATTTTTCAAATAACTTTTAATAGAAGCAAGATAAGGAGCTACAGTTTTCACTGTTGGAAAGTGAAGATAGAGCCATATTGAACTGTATATTATAGAATAATCTGACCTAGTTTTTTCAAGAACTTACATCGATATTTTTCAATGGTAGCATGCTCTCTAAGGTGAATAAAGTGAATTTTCAATAATCAGATGTGTATTCGAATCGCTAATAGAAGATCTATAAAACTGCGCAAGGCCCAGATTCGAAACAATGACATCGGCATAAAGACCAATATATTTGTATAATTCATTATTTAAATAATATGAATTCAATATTTGAAGATCAAGAATATTAATATTCGATTTAAATTTCAGTTAAAATCTATTTTAATGAAGATTTGTAGATTAGAAAATGTTTATATTTATTTGTTCTAGTGTAATATATCGAAAAAAAAAATTGTAAATGTGATATTTGATTGAATCCATTCCCTTTTTTTTCTGACGTCAATCTTCTCATTTCTCTTTTTTTCTCTTCAGCACCTTGCTTTTCCATTCCAATCGTATATTTGCAGAACAACAAGACGAAGAAGAAAAAGAAGAAGAAGAGTAATAATAACAACAACAAGAATATGAATGGTTCGACTGTCGAAAGTGATATTATCATAATTAATAACTATTCTCTCTATTTATAGTAGGACATATTTGGGTTCTTGTCTTCATTATATTGACATTTTCTTGTTATACAATCTAACAAGATTAATCGTATCACATCAACAAACATTTTTGCAGAAATCTTATAGATAATGATTTTTATCAGATCAATTTATTGTACAGACATTTATTTAAATAATGTTAAGGCTTTATCAGATGTAATTCAAATAATTACAAAACAAAAAAAAAACAAAGAATTCTAAATGGATAAAATAATGAGATTCACCAATTGAAGAGATTTGATTGACTATAAAGTTGAAATAATTAAAGGATCTTCTTGTTCTGGAGATTGTAATGTCAAAGAAGGAGGAGGAGGAGAAGAAGGTTGATTATTCGGTATTTTATGTTGTCTTATTGTGACAATAAGTAAAATAATTAAAAGAAAAAATGAAATTCCTTTAATAATAATAGCTGTACCAAATAATGTAAATGGAAGTCGATCTCCATTATATATAAAACATGATCCACGACGATCGCATGTTGCTTGTGACCAAAATAAACATTGATTATCAATAATAATTCCAAATAAAATTGGTGCAGGAATTTGAGCAAGAATTTTCATAATACAATTTTCTAAACCTAAACCAAATGATTGAAGTTCATGTTGAACTGAACGTAATATTATTATTAATTGTGGTGTTGCCATTAATGTTTGAAAAAATGTTACAATAAATAATATTAATAAAAATAAAAATGTTTCAGTAAAACATATATTTTGACATGAACCTAAACGAACATTTCGTCCTTTTGGTAAACATGTACAATTTGAATAATCCTTTAATAAACAATTAATTATTATTAGTCAAATCAATATAAATATATATATATGTATCTTACTGTTCCATTTATATATATACAACCAGCATGACATGGTGAAAGATAAGTTATTTGTTCTTAATAACAAATTGGTTGATATATATGTGGCGAACAATTACATAATTTTGAACATTGTGTATTACCTTTATATATTGTTGTTGATTGACATTTTAAAAATAAAAGTGCAATTAAACCGAACCATGATATTGAACAAGTAATTAAAATCATTTTTATACATTGAAGAATACCCATATGAAAACGACGAACTAAATATCCACCTGTAAATGTACCAAATACAGCTGCTGGAACAATAATTGAACCAGTTAATGTACTTGACAATGATGAAGATAAATTAAATACAGATTCAATATATTTTACCATAAATGTTGTAAATGATACAACAAGTATCTAAATTTAAATATTAATTATTTTAATTCATCAATACGAACTGTTTGATAACTTACACTTTCTACTGAATTAATCAAAACAATTAAAAGAAATGTGAAATTCATTAAAAGATCAGTTATACTTGTAAAAATATCTATAAATAAAAAGGAAATATATAATTAGATTTTTAAAGATAGATGAAAATAAACCTTTTATTTTTGATATTTGACATAAAGATTTACATTGAGTTGAATTTGTTAATTTGGGTAATGTATGACGTCGTGTTGCAGCTTGACCAAGAGCAAATACTGAATTGGTTGATTGTGTTTCATCTATTGATTCGACTGTTTGATTAATATCTCGTTGTAATTTTGCAGGAAATGTACAAAGAAAAAATGACAAAATTGTTAATGAACTTGCTGATACAAGAAATCCTGCCCACCAACGACCAATCCAACGAGGATCATTTGTTGTTATACCATTTGGAATTTGATTATGACCAATATTTATCCATTGAGAAAGAAGTGCAGAACCCATTAAAAAACCAAGAGCAGGTCCTAATGCAACCATTCCATATAGAATACCTAAAACAACAGTTGATGCCACTCTTTATTTATTCATTTCTTTTTTTTCTTATTCTTATTCTTATTCTTATTCTTCATATTATTAAATATAACATTAGTTCAAATAGCAAAAAAAAGAAAACATATTAATCATGAGGATATTTATTTTATTTCTACCAATTTTCATTCAATGTCAACATATTGCTGATTTAGTTGACAAACTTCGTCATTTAGAATCATTTGTTGAAATTCAAGGAGGAAATTTTCGAATGGGTACTAATGATCGACATGGAATTAATATGGAATTTCCGATCAAACAAGCACATGTTAAACCTTTTAGGTAAAACTACGATTTTTTTTTCTTCTCATCCAATATTGTTCTATATTTTATTTTTATTTATTTTTGTTCAATAAAGAATATTTCAGTATCCGGTAACAGTTGCCGCTTTTCGTCGTTATACTCAAGATAAAACTCGTTATCGAACTCAAGCAGAAATCAATGGATTTAGTTTTATTTTAGGAAATTCAACAAATAAATCTATCGTTAATATTACTTCTGAAGTTTGTTGTTGTTTTTTTCTCTTTCTTTTCTATATTTGATTGAAACTAATTTATTAAAATCTAATTTATAGGATGAAGGTTTTATTGCTGTTGAAAATATTCGTTGGAATCGTCCTGAAGGTGAATTAATTGATATATCTGATCGTTTAAAATATCCTGTAACACATGTATCATGGTATGATGCTCAAGCATATTGTTCTTGGAAAGGAATGAGATTACCAACAGAAATTGAATGGGAATATGCAGGACGGGGTGGACTTGATTCAATTTTGTATTCCGAGTGATTTTATGGAGGCACACGGCATCAATTTTCATTAGTGTCAACAATATCAATTTGATTGGAGCATTAAAGTTAATTCGTCTCTCGAAAGTGCATTAAATTTGCATTAACTTTTCGACCAATCAAGTTCCTTAATTCGGCATTAAATTTTCTAGTGTAGACAAGGCCTTTATCATCATCATGAATGAGAATATACAGTTTAAATAAAAAAACAAAACATTCAACAATCATTTCGGTTTTTCGATGAACACTTCTTCGTTATGTAACTCAATCATTTGATCAAAATAAATAATCAAGATACACGAGAGAATGTTCTTTGGGAAGGAATGTATTGGTTAAATTAATATTGAACTTAACCTATACCAATATGAAGTATAGTTTTGAAATATTGGTAAAGATTTTTCATTACTAAATTACTTGATATTCAACTTAATCTTTATGAATAGGGTAGATAGATAAATGACATAAAATTATTTTTTTTTTTGCTTTCAATTAAAGATATTTATTTGATGAAGAGGCACGAAAAGAATGTTATCGATTAATAATGGAAAAAAAAGAAAAGAATCAATTGCTGATATATTCAATTCTAATTGATTAGAATTTATTGTTGCACCATCAGAAGAGAAATAAGTTGACTTTTAAGGAAGTGATACAAAAAAAAATTATTGTTAAGAGAGCAAAAGAAAAATAAACCAACTTTTAAAGAAATGATACAAGAAAGAAATTATTGTTAAGAGACCAGAAGAAAAATAAACCAACTTTCAAAGAAATGATACAAAAAATTATTATTGAATCAACAGAAGAGAAATAAGCCTACTTTCAAGAAAATAATACAAAAACAAAAATTTTTATTTTGAGAGTAATAGATGACTATCTGTTATCAACAACAACAAAAAACTTAACATCATTAACACAATCATATACCACCACCACCACCACCTGTACCACTACCATCTCCTGTACCACTACCATCTCCCGTACCACTGCCATCTTTCGTATCACCACCGTCTAAAAAGCAAAAAAAAAATATCAAATTTTATCGTTATAAGTACTCAGATGAAATAGGTGAAAAAATTTTATATTTCATCGAAAATTAACATATGATGCAAAAGTAATGGAACAAATGTTGGACCTTGTTTCTCTCCGATAGTAAGGACACTGAAAGAAATTTTTTAACCAAAAGATAGAGCGTTTTTTTCTTCTTTCAACTCGTATATAATTTATTTTTATAACACGCTCATAAACGAAACGACGCAAGAAAAAGGAGAAGCACCGTTAAAAAGAATCCGCACTTTTCGTGAGATTGAGAAAAACGGTGCAAAATATTATTTCCTATAACTCTTCAGCAAGCATGTTTTGCAACGAATATTTTTTTATCATTTCATAGGAAATTTTCTCTTCTTTCGAATAATGTAAGATTTATATTCGTTGTATATTCGTGTATGAAATTAGATAAGAAAAAAAGAGAAACATTTGCAAAATAAATTTTTAATTTTTAATTTTATTTGAACTCATCAAAAACATGTTGTTAGATGACAATGAATGCGATCTTTGTGGACTCATGAAAAAGTCTTGTCAAATGGTGGTTACTCACACTTACATCAACTCGTTAGAAAAATCTTGTAAAATGACAGTTAGTTGTAATCAACTGTTGTCTACAAGATATTTTTTATGAATTCGTATAGAAATTGTAAATTTATTGCGTGGGTGTTTCTCTTTTTTCTCATCTCGTTTCACTTACTGACTTGTGACAAATACGAATCATATATTAGTCGAAAAAGAAGAAAATTTCCTATCAACTGATAAAAACATATTCGTTCCAAAACATGCTGATAAAAGAGATGAAATGATCGACATTTTGTGAGTCCCTTTTAGAGAAAAACTGCGGATTCTTTTTAAAGGGTGCTTCTCTTTTCTGTTGCGTTGTTTCGTTTATGTGTTGTAAAAATAAATTACATATGAGTCGAAAGAAGAGAAAACGCTCTATCTTTTGGTTAAAAGTTTTCTTTCAGTATCCTTACTATTGGAGAGAAACAGGGTCCAACATTTGTTCCATTACTTTTGCATCATATGTTAATTTTTCAAAGCTTCTTTTACTAATTAAAATTCAATTCAAGACTTTTTACATGTTTTATTCTTTGTATATTCATTTCTCTTTGTTATTATTTTGTAAAAACTTATAAAAAGAAGAAAGATTTAAATATGAGATGCAAATATATAAAACCTTATGTTTTTACTTAACAAAGCTAAAAATTCTTTAAATTTTATCAGTCAAGAACGAATGAATACAAAAAATTTTTTCTAAGTTTTTTTTCAAGTGTTAGTAAATGTTCACGACCAACTTACCCTTATGTTCCTGCTCTGCACCTTCATACATTTTTAACTTGAGCAAAAGGACGTGGAAATTATTTTTTAGTTCTCCAAATTGGCGCTTTACTTCTTGAAGTTCATGATTAACTCTTACAAGTTCAGCTCGTACAGTATGATTAGATTGTGTTAATCGTTCGTTTTTTCTGATTAAATTTGTTTTATCACGTTGTAAAGTATTAATTGTTTCCTGAAGAAACGAAGATAATGGTGGTGCTGTTGGAACATTATTTAGAACGTTCTAAATAACAAATGAAATACGTAATTTTATTATTAATATCAAAATAGATTATCTAAATTGTTCTGCTATAAGGGTGTGGGGGTGTGGGTGTGGGTGGGTGTGGGGGTGTGGGTGGGGTGTGGGTGTGGGTGAGTGTGGGTGTGGGTGTGGGGTGTGGATTTGGATGTGACTATTCTTTCGCCAACATCCACAGCCCACAGCCACACCCGCACCCACAGCCACACCCGCACCCACAGCCACACCCGCACCCACAGCCACACCCACCCACACCCACACCCACACACCCCACCCACACACCCACACCCCACACCCACACCTACACCCTCCTTGTGGTCTCATTATTGATTCTGAAACGGGAGTTAAAATATTAAGACTATGTAAAAAAAAAAAGATTGAATTTCACGACGAAAGGTCTATCAGTTACAAGCAAGGTTCAATTTCATATTTCTATCTCACATAACACATACGCACACAATTGTTTAAAATTTCAAAAAAAATTAAAATAAAGAGGATTAAGATGAAGAAAAGCCTACTTTCATATTGAATATGTATGAACGTATTTTTTGCTCGACTGAATATCAGACAAATTGAAAGAAAAGTAGGGACACAATAGACGATACTGTACTACGAATCATTGTGTGAAACAATTCTCTGTGTCCAGTTCGGATCGATAGGGGGCGCCATGTGCAGTCTCGAACACTTTTCATTGGTAGCAATTAATTGTACAGAGCTAATATTAAACAAGTTTTCAACAATAAAAAATCTAATTAGAATCATCTTTTTTCGTCGAATATTTTTAAGTGATCCAACGATTTTTTAAAAATGTATCAACAAAGTACAAAACATCTCTCAATTTTAATATGTCATTCTATTTAAAAAAAATAAAAAGTCACTTCTTTAAAAAAAAATGTACGCGTTTTATTCAAGAAATTGACGAATATTCATGCATTCAAAACTCATCTAATCATTTATTCATCATCTATTATCTGACACTAGTACACGATATAGTATCCAACTGAATTTCATCACTCTTCTGCTTTCTTACAAGAAATGGGATTCTAGAAGAATTTAATGTATGATTATTCGAAATATCAATGAAAATTAAAGGAATCATTCTACCAGAAAAGTTTATTTTCATGAAATTTTCTTTATTAAAAAAATATTTTCTTTTATTAAATGTCGCGTAGAAAATGAGCTTTTTCAATTCAACTGCTTAGGACTCTTCCCCTGACTTTCTTCAATCGAGCTAAAATTTATACTTCGGATACTTGGAAGTGTTCTTATTGAGTTAAAATAAAGAATTCACATATATTCTTTATGTTCTTTATAATAATAGAAGATAGTTCAAGTGAAAACTCCCTAACAGACTATGATTATTTTCTAAGAATTCTTTATCTCGAACAGAATCTTTTTTTCGAAGCTCTATTTTTTAACTGCCTTATTTTTCATTTTCATAATTTACTATTATTATTATTCTAATCATTGTAAATGAGGCTCTTTTTTATATTTTGACAGAAGGTTTCAACGCACTATTTTATATATCGACAAGCTTACAAACACTAACTTTGATTATTCTCGAAATTTATTATTTATCTAGTTGACTCTTTCCATGTTAATAATATGACGACAATGAAAAAATGATATAGCATTAATCAAAATGTGTAACACCTAGATATTTTGATTCCGATTCAGAGAAAACAATTCGAGGTTTTATTTGTATCATATTTAAAGTAATTCTTCAATACTCGTTGTTTTTTTTAATTTAATCGACGACTAACATTTTTTAGAGTTATGTCTTTTGAATTATGCTTATAAACTTAAGTTCCAATTTCTGTCTTAGCAACTTCTATTTTCCGAGATTACTATTCATCATTCTTGGCATCATAAATATAAATTTTTAATTGAACTATTTATAATGTTTTTCCAATCATTCAAATTTCTATAAAAGCTTTGAAATTTTCTATATCGTTTTAAAGTTCGTTTTTGATACCATTGAGCGCATTATCTGGTTGCTAATCTATGAAAGTCGTCTGAAACTTATTGTTCTCAATTACTATAATAACGTACACAATGGTCATTGGTCTCTTCCTCTACAATGAAAAAAAAACATTTTCGTGAACCTTCATTGCTATGATTAGAGGATGAAGTTAGAAAAATTTACACTTACTATACTTTCAATGATCGTAACGAAAGTACGTTCAGACAAGAATAGTCACTACTTAGTTTTTCAACATATTGCAATGCATGAAATTATTTTGCCTTGCAAAATATTATATAAATTTTACAAAAACTCGTCTCAATATTTTTTTATCTGTCAAAAGAAAAAAACAGTTAGACCTCTGCATAGTTTTTCAAACTAGAAGGAGCTATTTCACTCACACACTTCGTTAAAACTAATCTTTTATGATGAAAAACAAGAATTATAATCTTCATTTTTGTGTTAACTATTCTTATTTTGAACGAACAAAAAACTTAAGGACAATAATGCAATTTTCAGGTTTGATTAACATATATTTAATCAATAACTAAAAGCTTTGTTTATTTTACCTGGTTAATTTATTATCAGCATTTCTAACAAATACAAATGGAACAACAACATTGTCCAGATGGTATAAGAACTTCACAAAATGTATCACATGTATATGGCAATAATTTTCTTCCATGTATTAAAACATCAATATTAAAAAGAAGACTGAAATGTAACTAAATACAGAAAAACGAAAACAAATTTATATTGATACAAATAAAAATAAATGAATGAACCTGTTTTACATCATAATTATTTGTACTTCTATCAGAAACATAACGTGTTGATAATGAAATTTTAACAAATTGTCAATTGAATATACATTTAACAATAGAAATATTCATTACAAAATCATTCAATAATATTTTTCTATAGAAACTATCGAAAGTTATAAAAATAAATGGATCAGGGAATATATTCTATTTTTCTATTGTTTGTTTTTCTCTTGCAAATGTGTAACATGGCCTTACTCAAACTTGTGTTGATCAACGAAATAGACCCATTATGATCTGGGTATTTTCATCATGTAGGTACTAAATCATTGATTGGATCAGATTACGCGAATGATTTTTTTTTTCATTGCCATTTGTGTTTCAATAAATATAATATGAAGAATAAATTCGCTAAAATAGAATTATCTATGAAAATATGCTGAGAGGAAAGATTTCTTCTTTTCATGATATTCCAATTAACAACTATTGGTGACATCTGAATTTTAACACATCATACGCGATGAATAACGTATCGTTCCAGTTTATATTGAGACAATAATTGGGTCTTAGTGAGAGTATAAAAAGTTTAAAAGGATCAGTTGACGTGAACTTTTGAAGGCGAACTATGCTCATTTTACTGAAATTCTGTTTAAAGATAAGTTTAGTGATTGTTGAAAGTTTCAATCGAAAAGTATGTTCATTTATTGAGACATTGAATTTTCAAGTAATTTCGATTTTTTTTGTGACAAGCAACTATTTATTGAAAGTTCAATATAATAGTAAAAACAAAAAAACATTCTTCTTATTTGAAGAACTTTCAAAAACGCTATAGCTCATCAGACTTATTTATGGATAAAGTTTTAGTTTTAGTTTTTGATTTTGTAGTAAATACTTCCAAAATGGATTGAAAATTCAATCAAAATCGTCATAAATTCGTTTCAAAGATCCATGGAAACTAAATCTTGATGATTTTTCCTAGTCTTCTCTTTGTGAGTTCAATATGATTTTCAAACAGCGCATTACAGTTATAGTAGTTTTGTTGTGAATAGTTTGTATTAGTGAAGAGAAAGATGAAGAATTTCTTGATTATTAAAAACATATTGAATATTTTTTAAATAGATTTTCGTTTATTTTTCTTTTTCATGTTACATATTAAGTGCATATTAATCATATATTCTATATATTCATCAATTAATACATTATCAATCACGAAAAACGATAAAAGATGAGCATAGAACATTTCTTTCTATCCTAGGAAGTACAAATCGAATCACCAATCATCTTCTATTTTATTTCATTTTGCTTTCGAATAATATGATATAATCGTGTTAAATAATGATTTATTCAAAAGAAACCCAAAGAAGATCCTGTTTAATTACTATAGTTAAAGCGAAGTTCGCCTTGTTGAAAACAAAAAACAACCAAAAATTGCTCTACCATTGCAAAGTTCCTAACAATCATCTACAATGAAAAAATTCCACACTGATTTTAATTAATAAAACGTTACAGTTAGATCGTGTGATGTTCATTTTTGACAGCGTTGTAATCATTGACGTTTCCTTTAAATATCTATCAAAACATGACAGGAACACGATCTTCGAGAACGTAGCGCCCTTTCACTCCTCACGCTAAATAAGATACTGAAATCATCTAAGGTGTGGGTGTGAGTGTTCGGCTACTGTCTCTAGGTAGTGTTAAAAAAGTCATAACTAGCTTATTGACTAGAGTACTGCGGGACAGTCCAAAATTCCGAAAAATCCCGTTTGTCCTGTCCCGCGGGACAAACGGGATTGTCCCGAAAATTTTTCGGGACGGGACAATATAGAAAGAACCTGTGTCCCGAACTTTTTTATTCATACATGAAAACATATCGTATACCCTCAAGTATACGATATGTTTTCATGTATGATGGTCACGTCATATGTAGAAAAGAAGATTATTGGAAGATGACATGATCATTAAGTGTTATCTCGATAACAATGAGAACTAAAAAGAAATCTTATCAGTCTATTATTTATGTTGTTACTTTTGTTTTTTGGAAAATCATTCAATGAAGCGTTAATTCATTTACCAACCACGTAAGCGCATGTGTTTTTTCCTACTGGTGGTACAGAAAGTGCGTGTTATCCTCTTCAACAAAGTGATATCTTTATAATTTTTCGGGACGGGACAAACGGGATTCGGGACACGACAAAGTTTGTCCCGCAGATCTCTAATAGAAATAAGTTGAAATAGGTATTCTTTGAAAATGTGTTTTTGTTTTTTTTTGCCTAAGGGTAGTTTCATGCAAATGATGACACTACACTACAATCAACGTTTGACAATATTGCGATTAATTTTGCTTATGAGAACACATGGAAAAAAAGATGTCATTAAATCAATCAACTCGGTAATTTTAATTTAACTTCCAAATTTTGGTGTATCAGAAAAATTTAAGATTATAAATGATTTCTATTCGTGATATACTGAGTCATGATTGCGACATCTAGGTTTTTTTGCAAATAATCTCAGTATGAATAAATTATATAATCGTGATATTTTTTGTTGAAAGATATACTGTGACATTCTTTACAAGAATGGTAATGAGGATGTGACAAACTGGACGTTGTCCATATCGGTACTCTCGACAATGATGTTTATTGAGATGCTTCATCCCTTCAATCGTATCTATATATTACTACGAACAAATCTTTATATAGTAGTTACACAAGGCAAGTGGAAGAGAAACATACGTTGTCACAGCCAACATTATTGAAGAAGTCATAAAGAGAAAAGAATAGAGGGAAATTGAAGTGTGACGGTCATTTATCATTACAGAGAAATCCTATTGAATAAGTTTGATGTTTTTTTATAAGGCTAAAAGTGAAGCACTATATAATAATGGTGAAATGTCCTATTATTTCCAGAGGAAAAAACGTCAAAATAAAGTCGATTATTTTGCATATATCTCTACACCAACAATTCAGACGACCAAAAAATAAAAGAAAAATGGTCAACATGACTAGCCTCAAATGTCTGCACTACCGTCTAGTCTAGTTGAGTTTGAAATGACTTGCAACTCATCAAGACCAGTCGTCTTGATGAGAAGTGGCGTGTAACTAAACATAGACTAGTTCAGAACGTGTCCACACTAAAGATCTGCGGGTTCACATTTTCTGGACTCGGGCTCGGACCCAACAAAAAATAAATTCCTGAACTCGAACTCAATCGAATCCAGACTCCAGTTCCTTTTTGCTAATATTTGGCACTTTTTGTGGACATGACCAGATAAAGGGTCAAGATTTTAGTTATTTATTGGTTATTCTCACACAAAAAAGTCAATATAAAATTATTTCTTTTTACTTCCCTTCACATAGTTCTATTCAGATTCGAATC